GGACACTGCCTGGATGGCCAGAAGCCAGAGCCTGGCTATCTCAGAAATCTAGGGTATGACCAAACACACCTGGCAAAAAAAGAGAAATCAATGATATGATTTCTAATTCCTAATATTGTGCTATACTCATAGATCAGTGTCTTGACCAATTGTTATCAAAGAGGATTCCTTCTGCAGAAGATGGCAGTGGATGGAGAGACCCACAACAAGACACTATTGGAAGGGTGAGTCTAAACTAGAGGTCTCTATCAGGTTCTTCCCTTCAGAAAACCCATACAAGATAGAAAGGAAAGACCAGAAGACAGAGGGGATGGAGGACACCAAGAAAACAGGGCCAACTGAGTCAATTAAGCAGGGCTCACAGGGATTCACAGAGACTGAAGTAGCAAACATGGAGCCTGCAATGGTCTGCACCAGGTCCTCTATGTATGTTATGGCTATTAGTTTGGGTTTTTTCTTGGACTCCTAATAGTAGGAGAGGGTGCATCTGTGACTTATAATCCTGCAGTATGGACTCTTTTCCTCCTATTGGGTTGTCTTCTCCAGCCTTGATATGGGGGTTTTTGCCTTGTCTTGTGGTACTTGTGGTATCATGTTTTGTAGTGTTTGGCTGTCATCTCATAAGGCCTGCTCATTTCTGAAGAGAAAACAGAGGGAGAGTGGATAGGTGGGAGAGGGCAGGATATGTGGGGTAGCTATAAGAAGTGGAGGGAGGGGAAACTGTGGTTAGGATGGATTGTATGAGAGTAGAATCTACTTTCGGCTAAAAGAGAGAGAAAGAGAGAATAGTGGGTTGTTCAAATAGAACTTTCTTGCTTCCTTGCTTACGTCCTCTATTCAATCACACACACACACACATATAGACACACACACACACATAGACACATACACACAGAGAGACACATACCGAGACACAAACACACACAGAGGCACACACATATGCACACACTTACACAGAGAGACAAACACACACACTGTTTCCTGCATTTGTTTCTGAAAAAACGCATAGGAGCTGTAACATCTGAACTATCAGAATGGCTCCCAGCAAGCATGCTCTCTACAAGGTAATGTTCATCATCTAAAACTAAAATTTCCTGAAGCAATATCCCCCTTCTGCCACTCTACTTGCCACACCATGAACCAAACTAAGACAAAGACATCCCTGATGTAAGAAGTCCTTCTGTGTATGTGTTGAACCATAGCAGAGCAGAGCAGATATAGGTGGAGAAAACTAAACTGAATGCTGGGAGAAAGAAGGCAGAGTCAGAGACACCACACAGTTTCAAATGGCAGCACAAAATGCTCTGGGTTTTTCAGGAGATCGAGCACTTGAATGGGGTTTGTCAAAAATGTGCTGTAAGTTAATTAGTGGCAGCATGGGCCAGTTGGTTACCAGCATGAGCCTTGTTCTCACCCAGAGTTTGAGAGGCACTGCAAGGACCTCTGCCATGTCAGACTGGGCAGAGCCAAAAGGCAGAGCAGTCTCAGTTCTAGTAAAGTTGCTTAGCAATTTTAGAAGTGCTTCTAGACAGGAAAGGATTTCAGATACACAATAGGACAGATTCAGACACAAAAGACTTCTAAATGAGAAACTGTGTGTTTAAAAAATGTACATAGGCTTTGGAGAGAGAAGAAAAATAGTAAAGAGACAGTAAATGTAATATAAAAGGGTAAAGACAGCCATGGATTAAAGGTGTAAAGATAATAAATATTAAACTTGTAGGAAAAGTAATAGAGTAAGAAAAGTAAGCACTGTAAAGATGGAATATACACTGAGAGTCTGGATTATATATAATATTGTGTTTTCTTTGAAAATTTTGACTGTGAAGGACCTTAGTACAGAGAAACATTTCATTGTATGGGCTGTTAAGCTAAACCAACTTATATGTTTCAAAAGTATCCTTTTTTCAAAAGTATCTTGATTCTAAAATTTGAGTCTAAGGATGTATTGCTTTGGACAAGAGGTTCTGCTTTTGTTTTCACAGAAGATGAGAACCTCTGGATTTCTTCCAGACTAATGTGGTTTGATGGACCAAGACCCCCCCCCCCCAGAGAAGTTGCTGTGAACACCCCAAAACGTACTTTACCCAACAGAAAGCAGGAAAGAGTTTGGATAGAACTGAACTATGACCAAATTCCCAAAGAATGTTTATTAATGTTTGTTTACATATAATGGGGATATGATATACATATGAATAACTTTAATTGGTATGGATCTTGGATTATTGGTAAAAATTTAAGGTATTTTTTAAATATATATATATATATATATATATATATATATATATGCTCTTGATTAAGGCATTGTGTTTGTATGTCTCATTTATAAAGGTAATATATAATTAAGAACTACAGGTTAATAAATAATCATCTTTAATAGTCATGATTGAAGTCATGTTAGTTATGTTTTCTAGATGTACAGAGATGTGTTTCAGATGAATATATATTCTTCAGGTCTTTCAAAGACTAAAATATGACATTTAAAATGTTTTAAGAACTTAAAAGTTTTTATGACAATGAGACACATCTGGTCATGGCAGCACCAATAATTTCAAGAGGAAGATGGGCATCAGAAAGGTTCCTTATGGAGTTTGTTAACCATTCAGGCAAGAAATTGCTCTTGACTGGACTGCTTGATGATATACTGTATAAACTGGACATGCAGGACCCACAGGACAATGACTGCTGAACTTGCCTATGGATGATTCCATGTTTTGGGGTTCCTGCTTGATAAAGGAGTCCGAAAGACATTCTGCAAGACACAGAAGAAAGCGACTGACAAACTACTAATATAGGCAGAACTGTCTTTGAAATTTCCTGCTTCATGGAAAAGCACTATGTGACTGTAGACTGAAGATGGATGCCCCAACAGTACAGAGGAACTTTGGGTAACTGTCCAGGCAGTGAGATGTCTCTGTTAATTGTAGAGTTTTGTTACTGTTTTGATTTTTTTCTTTTTTTATATTTATTTATTATGTATACAGTATCTGTCTGCGTGTATGCCTGCATGCCTGAAGAGGGCACCAGGCCTCACTACAGATGGTTATGAGCCACCATATGGTTGCTGAGAATTGAACTCAGGACCTTTGGAAGAGCAGGCAATGCTCTTAACCCCTGAGCCATCTCTCCAGCCCCAATTCTAGAATTTTGGAAGTTGCTTACAATGCACTTCCTGTTTACTTAGGTAATATTGCATCCTTCTGGAGTCTTTGATTGAGCTGAAGAATATACAGTTATATTTCTAGTTTTTCTTAGTTATGATAAAAGATAAAGTGAATATAATTATTGTAACTGCAATTCTTACTAATAACTGTTTTGTTATGTAATTTTACTATGTTAAAGTTAAAGCCTTTCTTTTTATTAAAACAGAAAAGGGGAGATGATGTAGGAAGTCCTGTATATATGTTGTTTTCATTAATTAATGAATAAAGAAACTGATTTGAACTTATAGCAGGGCAGAACAGAGGTAGGTGGGGAAAACTAAACTGAATGCTGGGAGAAAGTGGCAGAGTCTGGTGTCACCATGTAGCCACTGCCAGAGACAGATGTGAGAAAACTTGCCATTAAGCCGCAAGTACATGGTGATAGACAGATTAATAGTAATTGGTTAAATTAAGATGTAAGAGTTAGCCAATGACAAGCTAGAGCTAATGGGTCAAGCGGTGATTTAATTAATACAGTTTCTGTGTGGCTGTTTTGGGTCCAAGTCGCTGAGTATGCACAAGCAGTGTCTTTCTATAACGCATTCATCTGGTGCCATTTGTGTGGCTAGATACCCTCTGTGTGCTTCCTTTTATGAGTTTAAAAATGAAGGTTTCCCAAAAAACTCATTCTGAAATAAATTCCCTCTTAAAGGGTATAAATGTAATTTGAGTATGGTTTTGTATATAAGTCAGACATTTAAGAAATAATGACTATTAAATAAGACTATGAGTTGAGACACTTGTCCCAAGTGTCCCAAGGTACTGGTGAATTTGCAAGACACCTAAGTTAGAATGACAGAGAGAGAGAGAGGGAGAGAGAGAGAGAGAGAGAGAGAGAGAGAGAGAGAGAGAGAGAGAGAGTCTGGGCCTGTGGAGCAGTTGAAGCCCCAAGGATCACCTCCAGTGACACACTTCCTCCAACAATGTCAAACCTCCTCATCCCTGTCAGTTAGCATCACCCTAATGACCAAGCATTCAAACCCATGAATCTGTGGGGCTGTCCTATTGAATCCATGCAGGCAGTGAGACAGAAACACAGAAGGAAATCAAGGTTGGATCAAGGCTCAGGATAGTTACCTTAAAATGGGATTCACATGTTATCACTGAATAACTGTACATTCCAACTGTAAAGCTTTCAAATGGATACCAACAGATGGCAGCTAAACTTGTTAGACTACCACAATCAGGACAGACAAAGTCTATCTATCTGGTCACTTGTCTGTCCATCTACCCACACATATACCCACCCATCCACCTATCCACCCACCCATTCCATCACCCATCTATCCATCTATCCATCTATCCATCCATCCATCTATCCATCCATCCACCCATCCATCCATCCATCTACCATCCACCCATCCATCCATCTATCCATCCATCCATTCATCCATCCAGATTAGTTGCATCTGTGTCTCTGTTCCCAGATGTGACCTCCAGGAAGAAGGATTAGCTTGGCTCATAGTCCCAGAGAGGCCATGCTCTTAGAACATCATGGTGGGAAGACCATGTGAAGGTTCTGTTCATTTCCTCATAGACACAGAGCTGGGAAACAGGAGGAATGTGGGAACCAAACATAACCACATTTCCTATGGGGTGTGCTTCTGCCAGGGAGACCCCATGTCCTGAGGTCACCACGACCTCCCCAGACAGCCCCTCCATCTGGTGACAAGAGCCTATGGATATGGCATATATAACCCATAATACTATCCATCTGTGTGTCCACTAACTCTTTATCTTCCCTCCAAGCCCCTCCAGGCAGTCTCTCCTTTTTTCTTTTTATTACTGTTTACTCACTTGGGGCTGTGGGGGGCAGCAAGAGTGTGGAGGTCAGAGGACAACCTGTGGTAGTCAGTTCTCTCCTTCCACCACGTGCTGACAGGGATCAAATGCAGGCCCTCCAGTTTGGTGTAAGGTCTGAACCCACTGTTATGAGCAAGGGAGTTCATTCCTTAGGCTGTGAGATGTTGAAGACGGGATCTGAAATCACATGACTGATGTCGTTAATTCAAATAGATGTAGGAAATGTATTGGTTAGTTCCTTACCACTGTGACAATATGAAAGGACAAAGTACGAATTCTGGCTCTGGTTTCAGAGGTAGGACGTTGAGTATTGTCATATAACATCATGACAGCAGCACCACATATCAGAGGACATTCTTCAGGCAGGCAGGAAGCAGAGAGAGGCATCCCAGCCCCTGTCCTTCTTAGAGTCCATCTAGGTTCTCAACCCACAGAATGGTGTTATCCATATTCAGGGTGGCTCCTCCTTGACTGCCTTCACAGACACACCAGTGCTGTCCCTCACCAGTGTCCTAGGTGATTCTAACCCAGGCAAGGTGACGAGGACTAATTCTCATGGGAACCCAAGTAGAGGACACTTAGAGTCAGGACTAGAGGCTCCTGGGGGTGATCCTAATCTTTGGGGGCTGTGGAGGATGCTGGACCCCAGAGGGTTACATAGTGAACTGGAGGCCAGCTGAGATACAGAGTAAGACTCTGTCAAGGAAGAAAGGGGAGAAGAAAAAAGCAAAGAAAAGAGGAGAGAGAGGAGAGGTGAGAGAGGGAGAAGAAGGAAAAGAGAAAGAGAAGACACTGTGGGGGAGGGCAAGAGGAACCACAAAGTGAACATAAGCAAACACTAAGTGCATTGGTCCATAAATGAGTGAGTTAAAAGAAGCTGGTGGACTAAGCACTGGGCCCAGCTCCTGGAGTCCAGTTGAAGAGAGGGAGGAGAAATTATGTGAGCAAAGGGGTCAAGATCATAATGGGGAAACCCACAGAGACAGCTGACCGGAGGTAGTGGGAACTCATTGACACTGGACTGAGAGATAGGAAATCTGTATAGGACCAGACGATGCCCTCTGAAAATGGATAACAGTTCTGTGACTTGGGCACTCAGAGGGGCCACTGTGTGGGACCAGGATTTATCCCCAGGGAATGAACTGTATTTTTGAAGCCCATTCCTTATGGGAGAATACAATTCTCAGTCTTGATAGAGGGGAGGGACTTGGGCCTGCCTGAACTTGATAGGCCAGACTTTGTTGACTCCCTATGGTAGGCCTTACCTTTTATGAGGAATTTGGGGAGTTAGTTGAGGGAAAATGTGTGTGGGGAAGGGAAGGTGAACTGTGGTTGGTTTGTAAATTGGGAAAAATCTTTAAAATAAAAAAAAATTCATTTAAATGAGAGTAAGCAGGGAAAGCAACAACGACAGCAGAATACTGAGGTTTTTGTTCAGCCGTGATTGGTCCAGTGCAAGTGACATCACAAGGAGTCATTGTGACACCAGCTAGAGACCAGACCATATAAGGACCTGCCTGGCACTGGGTTTTGTCCTTGTATCCCAGAGGAGGAGTTGGTTGGTGGATAAGGATTTGGACTCAATTATTCTTTGTATTCTTGGATATCCGTAAGTGAGTGATCCTGTAAAAAGTGAGCTTCTCTTGTTTTCTGTTTGACTTTCAACTTTTGACATTTATTGATTGATACTTTTTGACCATATTCAACTCTGCTTTAAATTGTGGCTGTTATTTCTATTCTTTCACTGACTGAGATTTTCCTTTTTATCCAATCTCATTTCTTTGTCATTCTTCACTGTGCTCTGTTTTTTTTCTTTTAACTTTCTGGTTTGTAGGCACACAGTGAGGAATTTACTGAACTGTGCTGAAGATTCACCAGCCTCGTGTCACCTCCCTGCCAATGTCAGGTGACCAGTGTTTCTATTAACAAGAAATTCATCTTTTCTTCTGACTATGATGAAGATAAATATTTTCATATTTGTAGAATAAGATTGTTTAAAATAGAACATTCTCTCATTCTAGGCTTGTCCCTGGCAGTGCTTTTTCTTTTCTTTTTGGGGTGACTATGTTTTGTTGATGTTGGACTATGCTTGCTCTTTTGTCAATTTTTGTATATAGATTGATTCTTATGTTCTCCTGAAGATATCTTGATCATGAACAATTATCATTTTAATGTGTTACTAAGAAGTAAAGGAGCAAGTGCTTTCCTTAAGGATATTTTAATGTTCGTAGTCATTGCCCCTGTCAGATACTCATCTCTTTTCAAGGTGCTTTACTAGGCTAGAGAGTAAGGGCTTTATGAGAAGAGTTTGTTTTATAAAAAGATTTGAAAGTATCCCTTGCCTCAGGTTTATGGGCTAATGGAATATCTGTGGATCATTACAGTTATTTCTTTAGATTTTATGATTCGTCAGTGAATTATCATGGTCACAATACAAGGCATTGTCAACCTATTTGTTCTTCCAGATTGTGTTGCCTAGTTTTATATTTCACCTTTAAAGTTTTCCCCATATTCTAGTATATTTCTTTGGTATATGAGTCTGCATCTTTACTGGGGAGTGAGGAAAGATGGGAGCTACAGAGAGACGGTGATGCTTAGAGAGATTCCATCCATAAACAAGGACTCTAGCAATGATGGCCATGCAGTGGGAGTCTGAAGCAGTTGCATTCCTTTCAGACAAAGCATGTCTCCATGGAATTGCAGTTTTCTGAGGGAAAGGGAGGTCCTATACCAATTGGAAGCAGGCTCATTTAGAATGAGACCTGTGCCACACTACAGAGGATGGGGCCTGGAATCGGGCTACTTGAAGGGTCCATTATTTCTCTGGTGGAGGTGGATGGAACAGACACAGGCAATGTGTGACTGTGTGACAGCAATGAGTCTGCCTTGACTTCTGGTCAGTATGGGTAGGGTGGGGATGGGGGGCAACCAGCTCTGCTAAGCCCATGTTTATTGGCTAGCATTCTGTTGTCATAGAAGTTAAAAACCTGGCATCTTAAGAGGGTGAGCATGTCTATGTGACTTAGTTTTGGAGGGACAAGAGCCCATGGTGGTGGGTCAGAATCACAGAGGCCTGCTGGAAGCCTGAAGGCAAATGCAGAAAACTGAGATGTCACACACTGCAACTCCAGCAAGAAGTAGAAGAGGACATGAAGACTATTCTGTTTCTTCTCAAGGACAATGCCAAGGATGGAGTTCTGCTTCTATGGCTCCAACCTACGTTTCCAAAGAGTACCATCTATTTCTCTTGTGTGTCCATGTGTTCAAACATCCCATTTGTATCAGACATTTTTAATTCAAAGTACCACAGAGATATTGTGGAATGTCAGATGTGATGAGGACTTGACTCCTTGTTTAGGAATTTGTGGAACGCATGGATGTGGGGCAGGCTAGAGGACCTGTGCCCTTTGGTGATCGAGAACTCTAATACAATGTCACCAACCACCTAAGCGACAGCTCAATGTGGGAAGGAAATGTGCCACCACCATGGCATCAGTGTCTCTTTAAAATGCGTACACGCATGTGCACAAACACACACAGACACACACACACAAACCCTTCCTCTCTGGAATTGATTCTTGTCTGGGATTTGGTGCCAGCCATGAGAAAAATACTCAGGGCACTGGTTGTGTCACAGAACCTGGTCAAATCCACTGTCAGTTATGGAAGCCATGATTGGTCCGCTCATTTGGGTGACATCACAAGAAAACATTATGAAGTATGCTAACAACTACTATGTTTTAGGCCCTGCCTGTATTGGGTTCCTGGCTTATATCTCGGAGTAACTGTTGCTGGGATACAGAACAAGTGTCACCGAATATTCTGTGACAGACTTGGAATCTCCAGTCTACTGGACTTTGCTAGAGTGAGTTCCTTTTCAGTTATTAGTTTTGGTTCCAGTGTTAAGTTTTGTTATTTCATGTTTACATGTATGCTATTAGTTTCCATCCTAGATTTGATTTGTGAATGTTGTATCTATTTTTCATTATTACCCAATTTCCTTTTTCAACATTCATTTATTCTTTACATTTTTCCCATTTTCTTCAGCTGGAACACGTGTTACCGTAAACTAACCACAGCACCTTCATTATAAATTTCCCATCCATGCCAAGCCTGCATTTTGGTCAAACTCTCTTGCTCTATCGCTTCCTCCACTCCATCTCTGTGACTAATACTGCTTCTTTGATAAATGCTCAGCCCTCCTCTTCCTTAAACCCACAGGAGAAGAAAATCTCAGTTTCTCTTTGTGGACTTAGTTTCCCTTAGATGAGATTTTCTCTACTTGAGCAACTTTCCACAGAGTATAAATGATCAGTGATCCCTGTGTCTGAGTATGGGCTCCTCCCTAGAATATAAACAGATGCTGCTACACTCTTGTTCAGTGTCTTCATATCAATTACCTTTTGGATTATTCTAGTACTTCCTGGTCTTAAAGGCATCATTTGCTTGTTTGGGTTATCTCAGATTTCAAGACAGAGAATTCATACCTATCAACCTCCATTCTAAAACCGTATCATTTCTTCCCTAGCATCGTGTGTCCCTGAAATTGCCCAAAAAACAGAGAACTTGAGGAAACCATCATGGTCTGCCACCGGGAAGAGGACATCCTTAAGAAGAATTACAAATTTTTAACATCTCTGGGGTGTGGTGCATTTGGGGAGGTGATACTTGCCCAACACCTTCCCACGAAAACGCAGGTGGCTATCAAGGTGCTTGAGAAAGAGTACAATGATGAGGAGTACATCAGGTCTGAAGTTGCGATCCATAAGTCCCTGCAACACAGCAACATCATCCAGTTATTCCACGCTATCAACACGCTGCAGACCACCTATCTCATCATGGAGTACCATAAAGGAAAAGACTTGGTGATGTTGATCAGGGAGGTGGGCTGTCTAAAAGAGGAGGAGGCTAGGCCAGTAATCAATCAGTTGGCATCTGCTGTGCACTTCCTGCACCAGAGACGGATCGCGCACCGCGACATCAAGCTAGAGAACATACTTCTGGGGGAAGGCGGCAAAGTCAAACTTTGCGATTTCGGGTTGGCCACTCAGCTTGCAGAGGGTCAGATGCTGGAGGAGCTGTGGGGCACCTTGCCATATTTGGCCCCTGAGATCTTGGCCGGAACACCATATGACGCTATGGCAGGGGATATGTGGAGCTTAGGGATTGTCTTCTACGTCCTGGTCACCGGACAATTGCCCTATGTAGCATCGACCCCCGAAGCTATGTACCATCTGATCACCACCACCCCGTGCCGCATTCCATACCATCTTTCTAAGGCCTGTTATCTCACCTTGGCCAGACTGCTCACGGGTTACATTTGGTTCAGGCTAACTTCATCTCGGCTTGTGGAACGACCTTGGCTGGGCCATATTCAGGAACACGTAACACCTCCTGCCAAGGAAATCCTCCCCAAGGTTGTGGAGACCATGTGTAACATCGGGTACACCTGTGAGCAGGTTATATCATCGCTAAAAGACCCACAGTCAAACCTGACAGCAACGATTAACATACTAAAATTCAAAGTGAGCTCTGGGGATAGCAGCCTGCAAACGATCATCCCTGCAGTCGCTATTAGTGTCCCTGTGGCCATGAAGAGGAGCCACAGCGAACCAGCTCTGCTGTCCAGAGGCAGAAGCAAAGCAGGGCTCCACACACACACCTGCCCAGAGGAGCTGCACTATTCAGACAACACAGCTCCAGAAGGAGATGCATTGGCCACTGAAACCATCAACTCCACTACAGGGGACACCACAGTCAACCCGATGTCACTGGATAGCCTGGCTGACAAATCCTCTTCCCCTGAGCCACCTCCGAATGAAAAATCCATGGGGCTGGTGAACATGGCCTTCAGCGAAGAACAATCCACAGAGCCAGAGGTGCCCAGTGACCAGCCCCAGGTTGTACCCACAGCCTCTGGAACCAGGCCACTCCGGGGCTGGAAACTAATGAAGAAGAGAATTTCCCGGGCACTGAGAGCACTGTGCTGCTGCTGCCTGCCCGCCCCACGTGGGCAAACGGAAGTGGCCTAGGAGATTTCCAGCCCTGGTAAGGAGTGCCTGCTGCAGAAGGGAGCCAGGACAGAAGCTCAGATGGCGGCGGCCCTGCAACTAAGGGCAACAGGCCCCTGCGTCCATACTCCAGCTACAGATTCTGAGCTACCAGTCCCTTTCTCCTGTAGCTTACTGCTGCCCCGGCACTGCTTTCCAGATCCAGGGCTGGACAGAAGGCCCATCTGCCCACTGAGTCTCCACCTCCTCAGCTTTGGTTTGCATTTAGGCCCGTTACACACAACATTTAACACATCTCCCTCTGCAACCAGCCATGACTTTGATGCAACCTCATGCTGATCATCATCTTGTTTTCTTCCTCTGCTTCAGCTTAATTTCAACTGTCTGTTGGGCAGACCTGCAACAATGCATGTCCTTGAATCTGATTGACAGGGACAATGTATACAGAGTTTGAGCTTATGCTTCAATCTGAATTCCCACTCTTTTAATAATTCTGATTTTTGTGTTATGTGTTATTTTTTAAAATTTTCTTACTTGTTATTTGTTCGTTTTTATATATCTTTAACATAAATGTGTTCATTAGGATGTTCAATTTAAATAGAAAAAGTAGTTAATTAATATTGTTAATGCTTCATGTAAATATCTGGACAGTCATTATAAACTATGAAAGCCTAATGTGGACAATAAATATTCATATGAACCAAAAAAGAGAGGAACTTCTGGTCCTGGCTTGTAGGAGACACTGTCGGCCAGCCTCCCTAAGCCTCAGCTCTTCTGCCAAAACCAGCCTACCCAAGCCTCAGCCATCCTTCCAAAGCAAGCCACATGAGCATGCATGACAGGAACTTCTTCCCTGAGCCAATCAAAGTCCTCCTGCTATGCCCAGAGACTGCTGACTAATGGACACGAGACCAGAGTTGTCAGTGAAGAACAAACTCAGGTCATCAGACTTGGTGGCCAACACCTTTACCTGATGAACCATCCCACTGACCTGGAAGATTTATTGGACTGGTTAACCTAAGGGCTGGTGTAGTCCCCATTGACAACATGCAGGCCAATTCTGGAATCTGAATGCCTCTTCAGTTTCTGTGTGCTGCTGGTGACCTAATATCTCTCTAGCACTGCGTTCACATAGAAGGCAGAAGGGGTTAACATAGTTTCCTTGTAAGTTGGCTACAACAATGGGTGAATTCCTCATACAAAAGGCTTGCACACCCAGGATTTCCAGCTTACTTAGTCTCCTTCCTGAGCTCCCAGCCCTTTGGATGGTACCATTTACAATCAGGATGGGTCTACTCCAATCACTGTCCCACATGCTAACCCTCTCTGGAAATTCCTCTCAATGCACAAGTGTGTGCTTCCCATCGTAGACACTCATGCAGTCAGGTTGAGAACAACCACTTCACAGTTCTGCCTGATAGCCTGGGAAATGCTTACCCATGAAGTCATGGTGACACTATTAGCCCTGGGAGGATACATCCAAAGGACTGGACACATGACCTGAAAACCTAGTAATCTCAATACCTGGTCCTGGTGGTGAGCCTCCAGGAAGTTATGTGATCTGGGCAGGCCAATCATCATCCATCCACAAGGCTTTTTCCACAGAGAAAAGACAGATCTCAGCTTCGGTAATCGAGGCAGAAACAGGATCTGCTGGTAGAGAAGCTGAATCCACAAAAGGAAAAATTGTGTGGGGGAGATTAAAGAATTGCCTGCAGTAGAGAGTAGCCCATGACAGACCAAAGAAAGACTCCACCCAGACCAGAGTGGTGAAGCACGGAGTTTACTGGAGTTATTCGTGAATTGTTCATAGATATAGGAAGGCCCAGCCCCCTGTGGGTGGCACCATTCCCTAGGTTGAGCCCTGGACTGTCTAAGAATGAAGCAAGCTAGCAAAGATGAGTTTATTCTCTTTGCTCCTGACTATGAGTGTGATATGACAAGCAGCTAGAGTTCCTGCCTTAAAATCCCAAAACTGATGGATTGTAACTTGGATTTATGAGTCAAGTAAGCCCTTTCCTCCCCTGTGCAGTATTTGTTACAGCAGCAGAAACAAAACTAGAACATATGTCAGAGATCTTTACCAGCCGAGCTTCCCCCTTGGGACCTGACAAACCCACCTGCTTTGTTGAAGAGCCTGGATTTTGAGGTGCTCCTGGTAAAAAGAGGTTGAGCCTATAATGCTTAAAGAAAAGAGAAATAAGCTCACATCTGTTGGCACTGCCCACTCAGTACTGTTGGTAAGATGTATGTGGAAAATCCTCTGTCTTGTGAACTAAAGAAAGCACGCATGGATGTCTTCCCCATTCTCATTAGTGAGCTCTGCTAGGGCCCATGATGTGTTCAGGAGATAGATGACAGTCACAGCTCTTTCAACTCCTATTTTGAACTTGACCTTTGCAGCTTCTCCGGCTTTGAGAATGCACAGAAATTTTCCTTCCTACCCCAAACTTGACACTTCTGATATTCATCCTTATCTGTCTTCACTTAGACTACAGAGACATGGAAAAGTCTGAAGTATTTGTCAACACAGACACTTGGTGAAGATGGCTTCCTATAATTAAAGATGTTACATAGACAAGGTACTAGTAAAGGTGGGGAAACCATGCCTATTATTTTAAAGATGAACATGACAGGCACCAGCAAACAGTCCTAGGAACTCAGATACGGTCATACCCTAAAAACATCTGATTGTCTGAGGAGGGGACAAGGGAAAGAATGCTGGGGATGGGGAATGTCAGACAATCTGAAGGAAGAACTGGGTGTGAGATGCCTTTCTTCTAGAAAAACATCAAGTGAATCTTCAGGCTGATTCCTCCATGTTACTCATTGAGATTCAAAACTGAGAAAAGCTAGTCACTTAGGCACGATGAAGAAAAGTTAATGTGGACAAATACCCACACTGAACTCTGAAGTGCTGGAGGAAGGAGAATGAGCTCATGTAATATTGACACCAAGGTCATGGAGTACCTCTCTCTACAGGAGTCTGTGCTCTGCCAACAAGACCAAAATCCAGTGTCCTCATTAGTGTTGCTTCCATGAATAAACATTTGTCTGACCTTGTCTCAGTTCAGCCAGGTGCGCTTGGTTCCAGGAAGAAAAGGTCGACTTAAAGAAGTCATTACTATCACTGGCAGCTGTAGGTACCGGAAAGAAACGGTCCAGTTGGAGAAGTCATAGCTTAATCCATCACCTATAGGTACCAGGAATAAACGGTCCAGGTTGAGAAGTCACTGCTCTCTTCATCAGCTGTGGGCTCCGGGTGCTGATTGAACCCTTGACCCACTTCAAACTCCATAAATTAAGTTGGTTGGTGTGGTTCCAATGAAGAATTCATCATTTCCTGCAAAGTGGAAGACTTACAAAGTTTGAGTCAACTATTCCCTTTCCAAGGTGAGTGGGACACACTATACACATTGTAGTCAGTCTAAGGCTACAGGCAAATGTGTTGTTCTTAAGAAAAGGAAGCACAATTTTATAGACTGCTTTTCTGAGCTGCTCTGTGAGTCAGACACTCCTACTGTATTTGTCAGTTTTCTGGCACTGTAACTGAAATCCTGAGCCGGACTGCTTTATCCACAAAAGAGGCTTATTTATTTCAGCATTCTAGACCTCAAGGGTCCGGTGTGGTGAGGCTCATGAGGAACAGTACCCCAACAGAAGTAGAGAGGCAGGAACCCAGAGAGAGGGGAGAACCGCTCTTGCTCTTCTTTACAATACCCCTATAGAAGAACAAATGCAAGCTCCCAGTCCTCACTTGCAGCTTTCCTGCAATGAAAAAAAATGCCAAAAACCAGCTCCAGGAGGAAAGGCTAATCTCAGCTTTCCCTTTCCAGCTCAGCACATAACAAGGTGAGTGACAGCAGCCCCTGAGCTAAGACCTGAGGTGAATAATAAGGAGAGATTGATTGGAGGTCCGGCATGCATGTCTCTGATTCTAAGAACAGATGTACGTAACCAAAAGCCCAAAGCTCTTGCCTGCCCTGTGGTGTGAGACAATTCTGTTTTCTGTCAATTATGTTTTAAATAAATGCTTATTAGCCAGTTAGCCAGGAAGGAAGTATAGACAGGACAACCAGACAAGAAAAAGATGCAGAGCAATGAGAACAGGTGAATTCTGGAAAGAAGGAAGCTCCTTCCCCAGTACCATGGAGACACCGAAGATACAGGATGTGACCTGCCATGCTGAAAAAGGTACTGAGCCATGTGAATAACATAGATAAGAATAATGGGTTTATATAAGTTATAAGAGCTAATACAAAGCCTGAGCTAATGGGCAAATCAGAGTATTACTTATGGAGACCTCTGTGTGGTTTTCTTTGGGATGTACCAGCTGTGGGAACTGGGCAGGACTGAAACCTCAAGGCAGATCTCTGTCAGCTCAAGGACAGCCTGATCTACAGCGTGAGTTCCAGGACAAAATATATAGAAACCCTGTCTCAAAAGCCAAAAATTAAAAATAAACAAAATAGAGTTTAAAATAAAGCCATGGAAAGATGGAAAACACACAGAGAATCTGGATACTGTATGTTATTATGCTCTCTTTGAATTGTTTGAATGCTGAGGAAGGAACAATAGCTGTTAAAAGATATTTGCTTATAAATGCTGCTGAATTAATCCAAAATAGGGATTTTGAAAATATCTGGAGTTCAAAATTGAAGTCAGAATGTATGTTACTTTATAGAAGACATTTTGCTTTTGTTTCCACAGGAAATGAGAGGCTTTGGATTCATTCTGAGTTAAGAAAAATCAGCTTTGATCAAGGAAAACTACCTGAGAAATCTCCACTAGGAACAGATGGCACAGATGTCTGAGTTCTGTGTCCAGAACAGATTTAAGACTGCTTCCTGAGATGATCAAGAATCACAGGACATTACAGTAAGGACTTGTTCATCATTCTAAATATTCTTTATGTCTCCATAAGATTATCAGTACACCCAAACAGCAGGAAGTAGCCTGGAATACTACACCACATTCCCAAAATATGGACTATGTGGTGTGGGAGAATTCTGTATTCTTTCAATGATGTTTTAAATAAATGCTTATGGACCAGTAGCCAGGCAGGAAGTATAGGCAGGACAACTAGACAGGAAGTAGAGGCAGAGCAATGAAGGGCCTGATGGTTTTAGTGCAGAATTCTTCCATAACTTCCAAGAACTAATAGCTATACTCTTGAAAATGTTCCACATAATAGAAACAGAAGGAACATTTCCACACTCTTTTTATGAGGCCACAGTTATCCAGATACCAAAACCAAGCAAAGACTAAACCAAGAAAGGGAATTACAGACTAGTCTCATTCATGGACATATATGCAAAAATACTCAATAAACTACTGGCAAACCAAAACCAAGAACACATCAGAAAAATCATTCCAGAGATGCAGGGATGGCTCAACATACAATAATCTACCAACATAATCCACCAGATATAGATTCATGGCAATCATCATCAAAATCCCAACACAATTCTTCACAGACTTTGAAAGAACAATAATCAACTTCATATGGAAAAACAAAAACCAAGGACAGAAAAAAAATTTCTTGAACCATAAAGGACCTTCCAGAGGCATCATCATTCCTGACCTCAAGCTCTATTACACAGCTACAGTAATGAAATCAGCTTGGTATTGGCATAAAGACAGAAACGTTGACCAAGGGAATCGAATAAAAGACCTGGATATTATTCTACACACCTATGAACACCTGATTTTTGACAAAGAAGCTAAAATTATACAATGGAAAAAGAAAACATCTTCGACAAATGGTGCTGGCATAACTGAATGTCAACCTGTAGAAGAATGAAAATAGATCCATCTCAGGTTCCATGCACAAAACTCAAGTCCAAATGGATTAAAAACCTGAAGACAAATCGGACCACACTGAACCTGATAAAAGAGAAAGTGGGAAGTAGCCTTCATTGCATGAGCACAGGAGACCATTTCCTAAACATAACCTCAGTAGCACAGTCATCGAGAGCAACAATAAATGAATGGGATCTCCTGAGACTGAGAAGCTTCTGTAAAGAAAAGGACACAGTCAATAAGATTTAAAAAAAAAGACAGCCTACTGAATGGCAAAAGATCTTTACTATCTCCATAACAGATAGAGAACTGATCTCCAAAATATATGAAGAACTAAAGAAATTAGACATAAAAATTCTAAATAACCCAACTAAAAAACGCTGTACTGCACTAAACATAGAATTCTCTACCAAAGAACCTCAAATGAACAAAAAAGACACTTAAGGAAATGTCCAAAATTCTTAACCATCAGGGAAATACAAATAAAAACAGCTGTGGGATGCCATCTTATACCAGTCAGAATGAGTAAGGTCAAAAACACCAATGATAGATTATTCTGTAAAGGTTGTGAACTGAGGGGAACACTCATCCATTGTGGGTGGGAATATAAACTTGTACAACTACTTTGGAAATCAGTATGGCAGTTTCTCAGAAAGTTGGGAATCAACCAACCTCAGGACTGAAAAATACCACCAACCCTTGGACATATACCCAAGAGATGCTCAATCATACTACAAAGACATTTGTTCAACTATGTTCATAGCAGCATTATTTGTAATAGCCAGAACCTGGAAAGAAACTAGATGTCTCCCAACAGAAAAATGGAAAAGAAAATGTGACACATTTACACATTGGAGAAGTACTCAGCAGGGAAAAATGACATATTGAAATATGCATGTAAACGTATGAGACTAGAAAAAAAAAACATCCTGAGTGAGGTAACCCAGATCCAGAGAGATGAATGTGGCAGTACTCACTCATAAGTGGATCCTAGCTGTAAAGCAAGGATATTGAGCCTATAGTTGATGTTTAGAGTTGCCAAGTAACAAGGTGAACCCTAAGAAACACATATATAGAACAACCTGGAAAGGGGAAATAGACAAAATCGCCTACAAAATTGGGAGCATGGGGGTAGGCAAGTAGGGAGGGTAGAAGGTGAAGATGAAGGGAAAGGGAAGGGGGAAGGACTACTTCAGAGAACAGGATGGTTGAGATGGAGGAAGAGCAGATGAGAGCAAGGAAAGAGATATTTAGATTGGGGAGCCATTTTGGTGCTAGCAATAAACCTGGCACTGGAGAAATTCCCAGGAATCCATAAGGATGACCACAGTTAAGACCCAAAGCAACAGAAGAGAGGGTGCCTGAACTGGACTTTCCCTGTAGTCAGACTGAAGAATATCTTAAATACCATCACTGAATCTCCATTCAGTAATAGGTGGGAACATAGCCAGAGACCTGCATTGGAGCACTGGACTGAGCTCCCTAAGAGTGGGAGGAGTGAGACTATGAGCAAAGAGGTCAAGACTTCAATGGGCACACCCACTGAAATAGTTTACCTGAGTTAAAGGGAGCTCACCACTCCAGCCAGACAGGGAAAGAAATACCTAAGGTCTAAACTAGTCCTTCTGAATGGTGGTGACAGTGGTATGGCTGGAGCAGACTGTGGGACACTAGCAGTCATGGAAACTGCCAAGAGGTCTTGTCCCTGGAAGGCAGAGGTCAGAAAGGCAGGGCTACAATATGAGACCCCATTTTCAGTTGGCTTTCCACTGCCTCCTCTGCTTTCCAGCAAAGTATTTACCAGAGGCTCAGATTAGTGCCCTTGCAAACCGCTTTGTGAATATATTGACTGTCAGGCTTAATCCTCTTTCAAAGTAACAAAGAAAGAAGAGGCAAACTATAGTGATTTACAGACTGTTTTCTTTACACAATGAGATGTTTCCCAAACAAGTAGATGGTGGTCTTGTGTTTCAAGAGTTCCAAGCCTCTGGGCAGAGTGAGCTCAGTAAAGGAAGAGCAAGTGGCAGTGATGCCAGCTTCCCCTCCTGCCTCTCAACATGACTGAAGAGCCTACTGAGAACAAGTCGCCTGGATGCTCTGGCAGTGATCAACTGTGCACACATGATGTCACTACAGCCACACCCATCAGCAGCAACCTCACCATCCACATCACACTCCTGCCCCAACCAACCTTGCCTATGCTCATGGGGCCCTGAATCTGATACCATGTGATCACATAGATCCACAAGAAACTGATCCATTGAGCATGCTCAATAATCCCAATGTCCTGACATCTTACAACCAGAAACTCCAGGAAATGACACAACTGTATTGCTTAACAATACTTGTGCTCTGTGGGGCAAGGTAGGCGCTGAGTGTTTTAAAAACATTCCTCTATTCTTCTAAAAAACATATACTTTCTCTAACTTTACAAATGATCAAACAAATTCTTTCCTGTGTTAAGTTATTAAATTTACCTTCTCTCTTCCAGCATGAGGCATGCCCACAAACATGGCAAGAGTCCCGTGCTTTGATCTGCCTTTTTGTGTGCTTTTGGCTAGACTTCAGAATTTAAATAAAAATATTTAAATTATTAGTTATGGATCTATAAGAGAGTACATTATTCTCCAATATTAGACTTGTTTAAACTATATATAAAAACTCAAAGGATGATCTCAAAAAGCACCTGTGCACAAGAATTCCTACACAGAAGCAAAGTCTGCAGAGGCTGATTAAAACGGTGAAGAGTGTTGCATGTCATAGACCCAGAGGCTAATTCCTATTATTGCGGGCAATCTTTAGCCCCTTTAGAGCCATTCTTTGTCCACCTCTATGTCATGTCTAACAAAAGCTTGATTCTCCACCAAAGGAGGGGCTGAAAATTTTACCAGATAGCAACAGAGTCCAGTAGCTGAGATCCCACCACTTTACTCTACCCTACCTTTGTAATGTTTCCAACATTGTGTTTGAAAATAATTGCAGAGCATTGTAGTTAAAGTAGTTACAGATCATGCCTATTGGCAGATGTTAGACACTAGACTGTGCCATATTCCATGCAGGGGATACACAATGTTCCTTCTGATTGTATTGGTAATAGGCAGAAATATTGTAAATTATAGTCAGAAGCAATGATCAGCATTTTCCTTCCGCTGGCATTGCTGTAGCCCATGACTTCTGGTTCTGGCTCTGGTGGAGTTCTGGGAAAGACGGCATCAATTACTAGAAGGAGAAGCGATGTGTCATGACCATGACTCCTTTCTTAAAGATCTTCTCCTAAAACCCACAAGCCATGATTAGTTCACATGTGTCCTTGCCAAATTAAAGCTATCTTCCTTCTCTCACAGGATCTGCAGATCAGCACCGTTAAAGAGAAAAGCCTGACATGCAGTGAAGTTAAGACTTGTTTATCCTTTGTGTATTCTAGTTTGAAAAAAGTTATGAGAAGTCGGGATCACTTGACAAGGTAACACATGGAAATAGCAAATATCTAATGCTTTCTGAGAGTTTTCTAGTGGAAGTGTTAAACACAAGACATTACCTGTGTAACTACATATTCATTGATGAAAGGGTGATCAACTGCAAGTCATGGGTCTCTGTTAACAGATAAGGTAATCATCTCAAAAAAAAACGGCTGGAACTGTGTTTGCTGACACCATCCCCAAATCCCTATGAATGACTGGTCTCTGCTTTCCCATGCTTCCCTGAGTTAGCCTGGGTTCCCACACAGCCTTCCATCCACATCAAATCACTAGATGCCAGGGCAAATATGTTAGCCACTTATCCTGAGTTCTAATGGGTTTTACAAACTAATTCCCTAGTAATACTACATTATAGGATTAACAGAAAGGTTATGCTGATCATGTGGAATACGGTGAGAGAGGATGCGAAAGAGGAGGGAATGTCAACATCTATAGCTGAGGTTCTCTGGGCCTACCCAACACATACTGGCCCTTGGTATAAGTGAAACCACACAGGAAACCTACACAGAAACAGGTTTAAGATCTTGTCTTCTTACCTTGAGTAGCAAGCGACATCGAGACCTTATTTTTATTTTACGCGTACCAGCTAATAATATAATTGTACTTCCTTCTACCTCTTCTTAAAATATACATCGACAAGAGTTAATATACCATAACATCCTGTTTAAAAAATTCAGAAGTTTTGTCAGTATGAAATAAAAATTTTAATAAAATAAACTGTTAAAACTTAGAACACACTAAAGATGCAAAAACTAATATTTTAAATGCTATTCCATTGAAAAGTTAGTTACCAAGTAATTAGTTCTTTTAATTTTTTTTGTTAGTTAATCAAACACTTTTTTTTGAATGTGTCTATGGAATAAATTATGTGTTTGTATATATGTATATTATAATAAGTATAATATCCCATAAACATCTTATTTTCTTATCTTTTTATTTCATCTAATAGCTGGGAGTTTGATGTTCTGTTTGGTGCCCATGGTGGAGACTGATGAAATGAAGCTGGTGCAGACCAGAGTCATTCTCAGCCACATTGCCACCAAATGTGCCCTCCATGAGAAGAACATGAAGGAGAGAGGTATGGATGAAATATTTAGTCTGGGAAATAGTTACGTCATGACTTGAGTGAAGAGAACCATGGCAAAGGACTCATGAGACAATGCCTGGGTGTTTGGGCATGCATACACTGACATCAGTTAAGAAGAATGCTATGGAATTGAGGGCAGAATAGGAGGGGTTGTGGGTGTCCTGTAGAATAGGAGATGGTGGAGTCCGGTTTCCCTTTTATTAATCTTCAGAGGAAACATTCTAGCCAATAGCTTTGGATAGATGGACCCAAAAGGCAGTAAAGAGAAGGATCCAAATAACTTCTCTTCCAGTTCTGACAATTACAGTCATGACCCTAGCTTACCATGTGAATCTACATGCAGTCAGGCTGATTGTGGCTCACAGAGTCTGGTACAGAGATACCAGGGTTGCATGAAGCTTTTTTGGGGAAGGCTGTTCAGAGCTGTCAAGACTGATCATGTGGTCTCCTCTTTCCTGTGATAGACCACGCCATTCAAACTGAATATTCTGTGGAAGTGTAGGGTTTTTCTCAGAAAGTTAAACATGGAGTCACCAATAACACAGCAGTTACATTACTAGATAAATACGCAAGAGAAATAAAAATACATTCCTGGGATGTTCATAGATGCATTAGGTATAATGTACAATAAATAGAAAATGAGCCAGACATTAACAGAATGGAAGAAGAGATCAGCCTTGCTTGCTAGCCCTTTAGGGCATTCAAATGGGAATGTGACTGGAGGTGGTGGTATTTGCCTTTATCTTAGCACTCGGTGACAAAAGGAGGAGAATTCTGTGAATTTAAGGCCAGTGTGTCTACATAGTACATATACAGGTCAGATCAAGCTACATAAAGAGACCCTGTCTCAATACAAATTGTAAAAGGATTGCTAACCTGCAAGTAAAAATCTATTATTACTGCCTCTACAGCTCTATCAGAGGGGAACCTGATTTACCACAGCCTTTTATTGTTTTCGACTGTAAAATCTGAGGCAGGAGGGTTCTGGCAGAATATCTGTCTGTTTTCACCATTGACATGTATACTGAAGATATGATGGGTTTGGATTACTCAGTTCTCCATCAACCTTACATTCCCCAACTGAGAAAGAGGCTAGCCTTGCCAAGGCCAAGGACAAAGCTAGGAACCATTATTTGCCTGCTTATGAGAAGGTGAGTGCAAGTGGTTCGACCTTTCGAGCATTCTGAGGTCATTGGAGCAGCTAACACTGCTGCACCAAAAGTGTGTCACGCAAGTGTTAAGTATTAAACACTTATTTGTCACTGTGCTATGAAGTTTACAATCAAGACATCGTAGATTGGAGTCTGACCAATCTTACTCATGGATTCATCTATGCCTGCTTTCTTTCTGGATCTACAATGGCAGGCTGGACTGCTATATCTCCGGTGTGCCCTTTAGGGAGCAGAAATGCCATCCATGAACACTTAGGGTGTAGGATCTATTCCCCTCTCTAGAGTCCTTCTTACAAACAGCATCGTGCTGAGGGCTAGGGTACTTACCTTCTTGATTTGGGGGACACAGAGATCCTCAGTCACAACAGAGGCAACAGGAAATGATTTGGGTGCCTTGGATCACCTCCGACTCTCTCTCTTGGCCCTTGGGATCTGACAGATTAGGATTCATCCCGTGAAGAGATGCTTTCTATTCATTACAGCTTGTCCCCTATACTGTGAAAACAGAAATCCCCTTGAGATCAGTAAAACACATAAATTACAGTATCAGTTAGATCTTTTACCAAGCAGTCATTCGCATTTCTGTATGTACAGATAATCTGATATTTATTTGATGACATTATTTTTAATTTGGTAGTAATATAACATTTTTCTTATTCTTCAAGACTTTAACCTTGAAGGATTATTTTAGCAAATATATGTTACTCCAATTTTTAATAAAAACTTTCATGCATCTAGGTTGAGAGAGGCATGGTGATGCAAGCCTGAAAGCCTGGTGCCCAAGACATAAAAGCAGAAGCATCAGTCGGTTAAAGACTATGTTAAGTAAACAGTGAGTTTGAGGCCAGGCTGGGCTACATGAAACACTGTCTCCAAAATAGAAAGAGAGGAGGAAAAAGGAAGGAAGGAAGAAAATAAGGAAGGAAGAATGAAAGGAAGGAAGAAAGAAAGCAGAGTGTGCGGGAAGGACTAAGAAAGGAAGAAAGGAACGAGGAACAAAGGCCAGTTAGATTAAAGAATGCAGGCCAATTAAAGAATGCTGAGCCAATCGAAGGCCTGCTGCTATGCCCAGAGACTGCTGACTAATGGACACGTGACCAGAGATGTCACTGAAAGAAGAACAACACAGAAGAATTGACCACCTGAGCCAATGGGACCTTGGGATGGGATATGAGAGGGTTGCCCATACCCTCAATAAAGGAGTTGGCTTTTCGTGGTCACCAGACTTCCAGAGTCTATGTGGTTGACTCCATGCCTTCTCGCCCCCTCCCACAAAGTGGTTTCTCTGCTGGGTTGCCTCAACACAGGTTGATTTTGGCTCAATTTTCCTTCAAAAATCTCTCCCTCCTCCTCCCCTTCATCTGTTCACAGGGGGCTCTCAGGGGCTCACCATCTCATCTTGTCCTGGTTCAGGAGAAGAAGCCCAGGCAGCATCAGCCCACCCTGTCCTCCCTGGTCCCTGTGAGAAGAGGAAATTTAGTCCCAGTCAGCCTCACAGAAAGTCCTATCTCTGAGTATCTTCAGCTCCATTGCCCAGACTAGTCACGTGACTGTTGTTGAGCCAATCACTGTGTCCCAGATAGTGCGATGTTCTGATTGGCCAGGTCTGAGTCATAAGACCACCCAGACTGTAGATGAAATTAATTTGTTTCCAACCACAGACATTGAGAGTAAAGGCAAAGCAAGTGACATGGAAAGGGACAGGAAAAAGGGACAGGAAAAGATAACTGTATCAGATGTGGCTGCAAGCCAGCTCCCTTTTAAAGAAGGAAATGGTCACAGGACACCAGTCACAGGGACAGAAGGGTAGGTTAAGTCAAAATGTCTTTTTTACCAACTCCACTAGGTGACTGACCCAAACCTCTCTGCCAAGAGAAAACTTATAATTTCTGTCTTTGTTTTTAGAATTTTAACTTCTCAAGTATGAAGGTCGCAGAATAACTGATACTCAACTCTCACCTGCCATGTGGGTCCCAGGGATCAAACTCAGGACTTCCCTCTTGGCAACAACCATATACACCTGGGGAGACCAGCGGCTCTAACGTGCGCAGGGTTTGAATTCAGGCCACAGTTATCAGTTTTGTTCTCTAGCTAACCCAGGGAGAGTTCTTAGTGACCACACTTGATTTAAGAACTACAGTGAGAGGGCCTTCTGTGGGGTGAGCTGGCTTCGGGCCGTGGCAGGGTCCCGGCGAGGAGGAGCTTGGGTGTTCCCCGACCCCATAGACGCCCAGGTCGCCCTGCAGTGCTGGCTACCCCCTCCCGCCTGCCATCCCGGCTCCCATCCAGCAGGGGCCCTGACTTCTAGCAGAGGACCATCGGTGGGGTGAGTTTCCTTCGTGCCGTGGCAGGGTCCCGGTGAGGAGGAGCTTGGGTGTTCCCCGACCCCATAGACGCCCAGGTCGCCCTGCAGTGCTGGCTACCCCCTCCAGCCTGCCATCCCAGCTCCCATCCAGGTACGAATTCTTATATTTCTCCCTTCCCCCTGGGGCCATAAAATTTCCCCAGCTCAGCTGCCTTGCAAGCTGGGCCTGGGCTGTAGGCGCAGCCCGGCTCAAGGCAGTTCCTGGGTCTTAAAGGCCTCCCTGAGGACAGGTGGACCAGGTACCAGCTCAGCCACATTCCTGACCAGCAGGGGCCCTGACTTCTAGCAGAGGGCCATCGGAGGGGTGAGTTTGCTTCGGGCCTTGACAGGGTCCTGGTGAGGAAGAGCTTTGGCGTTCCCTGACCCCACAGTCGCCCAGGTCGCCCTGCAGTGCTGGCTACCCACTCCCGCCTGCCATCCCAGCTCCCATCCAGGTACGAATTCCTATATTTCTCCCTTCCCCCTGGGGCCATAAAATTTTCCCCAGCTCAGCTGCCTTACAAGCTGCGCCTGCATTGTAAGCGCATCCAGGAAAGAGGGAGTGCCTGTGCTTCAATAGCCTGCCTGAGGAAAGGCGGGCATTCTGTCAGTGAAGTCCCTGCCCAAGAAAGGAACCTGACCCGGTAACAAAGTTCCAATAGAGAACATTTGAAGTAAGAGATGGGCAGACGCCAAAGCAAGACCTCATCCAACAATCTGAAAAACAACATGAAAACACCAGATCCCAAGGACCCTACAACAGAAGGGCTTGAACACCTTAACCCAGAAGAAGTGGAAAAAAGTGCCATTATGAAAGCAATAGAGTCCCTTAAACAGGATATGAATAACTCCCTTAAAGAATTGGATGAGAAATATAACAAAAAGTTTGAAGAAATGAGTATAGAAATTGATGAGAAATATAACAAAAAGTTTGAAGAAATAAGTAAATCCGTGAATGAGACCCTGAGAAACCAAGAAAAAACAATCAAACAAGTAAAGGAAACAGTGCAAGAATTGAAAACTGAAATGGAGGCAATGAAGAAAACACAAACGGAGAACCGGCTGGATATGGAAAACCTAGGTAAACGAACGGAGACTACAGAATCAAGCATAACCAATAGAATACAAGAGATAGAAGAACGAATCTCGGAATCTGAAGATACCATAGAGAAAATAAATGCTCTGGTCAAAGAAAACGGCAAATCCAACAAATTCTCTTCACAAAACATTCAGGAAATCTGGGACACAATAAAAAAAACCAAATCTAAGAATAATAGGGATTGAAGAAGGAGAAGAACTGCAGATCAAAGGCCCAGAAAATATATTCAACAAAATTATAGAAGAAAACTTTCCCAACCTAAAGAACGATATTCCTATGAAGGTTCAAGAAGCATACAGAACACCGAATAGACTGGATCAGAAAAAAACATCCCCTCGCCATATAATAATCAAAACACAAACCATAAATATTAAAGAAAAAATTTTGAGAGCTGCAAAGGAAAAAGGTCAAGTAACTTATAAAGGTAAACCTATCAGGCTTACACCGGATTTCTCTATGGAAACCATGAAAGCCAGAAGATCCTGGATAGAGGTACTGCAGAAACTAAGAGACCATGGATGCAAACCCAGACTACTATACCCAGCCAAGCTATTGTTCACTATCAACGGAGAAAACAAAATATTCCAGGATAAAAACAAATTTAAACAATACGTAGCTACTAACCCAGCCTTACAGAGAATATTAGAAGGAAAATCACTACCGAAGGAATCCAACATTCCCAACACGGCCTACAATAACTCGAACATCTAGCGACCATTCACAAGCACAAATCAAAGAAGAAAAACACATACACTCTACTACCCAAAAAAAAAAATGACCGGAGTCAACAACCACTGGTCATTAATATCACTTAATATCAATGGACTCAATTCACCTATAAAGAGGCACAGACTTAGAGATTGGATACGAAAACAGGATCCAACATTCTGCTGTTTACAAGAAACACACCTCAACCACAAAGACAGACACCTACTCAGAGTAAAGGGTTGGGAAAAGGTTTTCCAAGCAAATGGACCTAAGAAACAAGCGGGCGTGGCCATTCTAATATCTAACAAAATTGACTTCAAACTAAAATCAATCAGAAGAAATGGAGATGGACATTTCATACTCATAACTGGAACAATTCATCAGGAGGAAGTCTCAATCCTGAATATCTATGCTCCTAATATAAGGGCACCCACATATGTAAAAGAAACTCTTCTAGAACTCAAGGCAGTCATCAAACCACACACACTAATAGTAGGAGACTTCAACACTTCTCTCTCACCAATGGACAGGTCAATCAGACAGAAACCAAACAGAGAATTGAGAGATCTATTGGAGGTATTGAATCAAATGGACTTAACAGACATCTATAGAACACTCCACCCAAATAGGAAAGAATACACCTTTTTCTCTGCAGCTCATGGAACCTTCTCGAAAATTGACCACATACTCGGTAACAAAGCAAACTTCCACAGATACAAAAAAATATTAGTAACTACCTGTGTCTTGTCAGATCACCATGGACTAAAATTAGAATTCAACAACAATGCTCCCCCCAGGAAACCAACAAACTCATGGAAACTGAACAGTCAACTACTAAATCACCCCTGGGTCAAGGAAGAAATAAAGAAATAAATTAAACTCTTCCTTGAATTTAATGAAAACAAAGACACAACATACTCAAACCTATGGGACACTATGAAAGCAGTGCTAAGAGGAAAGTTCATAGCACTAAGTGCCCAATTAAAGAAAGCGGAGAAAGCACACATTGGAGACTTAACAGCACACTTGAAAGATCTAGAAAAAAAAGAAGCTGATTCACCCAGGAGGTCTAGAAGACTGGAAATAATCAAACTGAGGGCTGAAATCAACAAAATAGAAACAGAGAAAACAATCCAAAGAATCAATGAATCAAAAAGCTGGTTCTTGGAGAAAATCAACAAGATTGACAAACCCCTATTCAAATTAATCAAACGGCAGAGAGAGAACATGCAAATTAATAAGATCAGAAATGAAAAGGGGGACATAACCACAGACACAGAGGAAATTCAGAGAAGCATTAGATCTTACTATGAAAGTTTATATGCCGCAAAGTTGGAAAATGTAAAAGAAATGGACATTTTTTTAGATAAGTACCATATACCAAAGTTTAACCAAGAACAGGTGAACAATCTAAATAGACCTGTTAGTCGCGAAGAATTAGAAGCTGTTATCAAAAATCTCCCTACCAAAAAAAGCCCAGGACCAGATGGTTTCAATGCAGAATTCTACCAGAACTTCCAGGAAGAGCTAATACCTATACTCCTTAATGTATTCCACAATATAGAATCAGAAGAGTCATTGCCTAACTCCTTTTATGAAGCTACAGTTACCCTAATACCAAAACCACACAAAGACACAACCAAGAAAGAGAATTACAGGCCAATCTCACTCATGAACATCGACGCAAAAATTCTCAATAAAATACTGGCAAACCGAATCCAAGAGCACATTAGAAAAATTATCCATTATGATCAAGTCAGCTTCATTCCAGAGATGCAGGGCTGGTTCAACATTCGCAAATCTATCAATGTAATCCATCATATAAATAAACTGAAAGAAAAAAACATATGATCATCTCACTAGATGCTGAAAAAGCATTTGACAAAATTCAACACCCATTTATGATAAAGGTGTTGGAGAGACTGGGGATACAAGGATCATACCTAAATATAATAAAAGCAATATACAGCAAGCCGACAGCTAACATCAAACTGAATGGAGAGAAACTCAAAGCCTTTCCACTAAAATCAGGAACGCGACAAGGCTGT